TCAAGTGGCTGCTCAAGTGGCTGCGCAAGTGGCTGCGCAAGTGGCTGCTCAAGTGGCTGCTCAAGTGGCTACAAGTGGCTGCTCAATTGGCTGCAAGTGGCTGTGCACTTAAGTGGCTGCAAGTGGCTGCGCGCTCGAGTGGCTGCTCGTGCTCGAATGGCTGCCAGTGGCTCGGTGGTTACGCGTTGGATTGGCGGTCAGCGGGTGCGCTTCGGAGTGGCTGCCAGTGTCCGTGCCCATTTTCTCTGGGATCGCAGCGGCTGTGGCAATCACGCACGCATGGACCAGGGCAAAAGGAAAAGACTGACGTATATAAGAACCTCAGCATCCATTTTGCAGAGAACGTCGCACAAGTATCCGCGCAAGCCGCCTCACGTCATTGGACCCCCGGAGTCACTCCCAGCCAACATGCGACCTATCCGGTGATCGCCAGAGACACCCCATAGTGACGAGGGTCTCGGAGCCTACGTGGCGGTTAGTCCAGCACCAAATACCGGGTAGAGTGTCACGTTAGCAATGAGAATGCCTCGGGGTCCCGTCAGGAGTCTCTGTTAGCTAGATGTCCAAACTTCGTCAGAACGGGTGGGGGGCATTCCAAAAACAGGTGCGCACCACGGAATGATTGACATCCTTGGCTGCGCAAGCGAGGCAGGGTCTTTGCGAAGGTCTGCTTTCTTAAGGGAAGTCCTCTATATCACCATAGCATCTTCACCTCAACAAGGCCACTGGCAGGTGGGGAATCATTCCAAAACAGCCGGACACCAAAAGAAAGATGCTTTTCTGTAGCAAAAACTTCTTTGTTTCACAGCATCCGGCAGGATGACACATCAGCTCCTAGCTCTGTCTCACAGCTCTGCCGTAAGTTCATCCGGCAGCCTGTCTGAAAGTTCTCCTCGTTGTGATCACCAGAGCCTGATCAGTCCCAATACATCCAGGTACAGGAATGGAGTTGGCTGCTTTTAGATGCTTTTGGAACATCCCCAAGTCTTGACACACACACACACATCAAATGAAGTTGCGTTGAGGGCATAGCAACTCAAAGCAAACTAGCTGCTGGAGAAAGCATGAACAATGAGGCCTAATGCCTTGTGTGTGGGCCGCTGGTTGGAATCTCCGTTTTCATCTCTTCTCACAACACCGTTTCAAGTCCATCATCAGGGGCCCAGGGGCGCCAGTCCTCCCATTCCCTACAACGACCTACGATAATCTATGGTGGACTCACCCACGTTGACGAAGTGCAATGTTGGTGGGCTTTAAATATCACGATGGGTCTCCCCAAATCTGCGATGAGCAGGTTGCAAGCCCGGATCCTGCCCTCAAGAAAGAAGACATTGAGAAGGGGAAACGACTCAGGACATGACAGGAACAATGTGAAAAAGCATGAGGCACGGGCGCCGTGGCAGCTATGAACATCCATGTGACATCCGCCTGAAAACCAGTCTGACAACTTAGACTCTTTCATACCCGCTTTTTACGGGAAGGGTGAAAATGGAGGAATAACACATGAACCACTTCATTTGGGGGCCGCGCGCATCTGGTGTTTAGAGCCTTGACGGATGGGACCCAGCTCTTCGTTCCGGATGGGACCCGTTCCGGCAGCAGGCTCCAATTGTTTTTATCTGTGCGGAGCGTGCAGACTGGAGTCCATCACTCATCCCAATCCGGCTCAAGATCTGGCATACCCACTCCTCGTGGTTTGAATGCTTGTA